AAGCTGACAAAGCTACCCTACCAACTCAGGGAAGCAGTGAAAATGAGGAGACAAGGAAACACATCACAAACAAAAGAAATGGAGGAAAACAAACATCTGGATATAGAATTCAAAACCACATTTATTATATAAGGTTTTTATAGAATTTCCTAGAAAAGGCCTATCAATTTAGCCAGACCCTTGAGGATATGAAAAAGGACCAACTAGAAATTAAACATACACTGACTGAAATTTAAAAAATATATAATATACAGAGACCCAACAGCAGACTAAAGGATCACAAGAATGAAGTCAAAGATTTGAAATTCAAAGAAGTAAAAAACAAAAACAAAAACAAAAAAAAAACAAAAAAAAAACAACAACAACAAAAAAAAAACACTCAACAGCTGAAATCGGTTTGGCTCAGTGGATAGAGTGTTGGCTTGGGGACTGAAAGGTCCCAGGTTCGATTCCGGTCAAGGGCATGTACCTTGGTTGCGGGCACATCCCCAGTAGGGGATGTGCAAGAGGCAGCTGATCTATGATTCTCTCTCATCGAAGTTTCTAACTATCTGTACCTCTCTCTTCCTCTCTGAAAAATCAATAAAATATATTAAAAACAAAAACAAAACAAAAAACACTCAACAAAAGCAAAAAGAAAAGAAATCCAAAAAGTTGAAGATATTGTGAGAAGCCCCTGGCATGCCAACATCAGAATTATGGGGGTGCTAGTAGAAGAGAGAGAGCAAGATACTGAAAACATATTTGAAGAAATAATGACTGAAACTTCCCCTACCTGGTGAAAGAAATAGACTTCCAAGTCCAGGAAGCGCAGAGAACCCCAAACAAAAGGAATCCAAAGAGGATCACACCAAGACACATCATAATTAAAAGGCCAACGACATGACCTCACTCATTTATGGATAATAAAGAACATTATAAACTGATGAACCAAAAGATAGATATAGAGACAGTAAAGCAACAAGCAGACTGTCAAATTACAGCAGGGAGGGTAGGGAGATCTGGGGGAGATAATAGATCAACTGAAGGACTCGTATACATGCATGTAAGTACAACCAATGGACACAAAACTCTGGGGAGGGAGGGTATGTATAAGAGGGGGGGCAATGTTAAAATATGTACACAGATAATAATTTAATTAAAAAAACGTTTAAAAAATTAAAAATTAAAAAATGTTTAAAAAAATGAAAATAAAATAAAATGCCAAGGACAAAAGACAAAGAGAGAATATTAAAAACAACAAGGGAAAACCAGTTAATTACCTACAAGGGAGCACCCATACGATTGTCAGCTGATTTCTCAACAGAAACTATGCAGGCCAGACAGGAGTGGCAGGAAATATTCAAAGTGATGAATAGCAAGAACCTACATCCAAGATTATTCTACCCAGAAAAGCTATCATTAAGAATTGAAGGTTAGACAACCTCCGTGATTGTCAGGGCATCCTGAATTCATTGCAGGTCACCCCTGTTGTTACCTCTTGAGAACTAGAATGGATAAGAGGTCTTCCTTTCTAAGCTTTGATGTCATTAGCACAGTTTTTTGCTCATTATTTCCTGTATACCCCTCCTCATCAATGATAGGCCTTTACATGTAATCAGTCTTTGTAAAAATGCAAACAGTATCTTATAGCTAAGAGCATTCATAGAATAGGTTTTATCAAGGTAGGGAAGATATAGGAAAATGTAGTTTGAGGTCAGCCTTGCTCAGCTTGGTTTATAGTTCTTCAAGGTTGTTTTGGAACACCTGAGGTCAACTCTTTCTGATAAAATTATCTGAGAAATCTATCCCTCTTCCCTAAATTTATTATGTTTTCACTATCAACTCCAGACTAAAAGTCTGGCTGAGCTACCTCAGATTCAAAGAAACTAGATTTGTTACATTTTGTTCTTGCCATCCTTTGGCTCTCTGGGTCTCCATTCTGCTTAGAACGCTAGGGAGAATTCTAACTCTGTCTACGTTTTCTTGTTTCTCCTGATCATCTGTTCTTAATGCCTACTGATGGGGTTCAAGACAGGCTACCTCAAAGTATGGCACCATGGCATATTGGATATTTTAAACTGAAGGAGTTTGAGAAAATGACAGAAGAAGAAAGGTTACTTTACTTATTCTCCCACACCATCCTCCCCACATACCTCCCTGCTCTACTTCCTGAAACTGGTCTTAAGACCCTCTGTGAGAGGGACTCTCCCTATTCCAGGAGAAAAGAAGCATCTGTATCTCCTAAGACGGGGACACCAGGAAGAATCTGAACAAATAGACCTTGCTAAGTTTCCTTCAGTTTATGACACTTAGCTCACATCTTTCTACAACTTTACAATTCTTCATCAAACCTAACAAAAATACACAGGTTTAACCATTTCTTGAGTCTTTATTTCCTTATGGAGGCTCTGGTGTCATGTAAAACTTATGTTAAATAGATTTATATAATTTTCTTATGTTCATCTGTCTGTCAGTTTAATGTTCAGATCCAACCAGGGACCCTACGAAGGTTGAAGAGACCTTTTTGATTTTTTTCTCCCCTACATTGCCCTCCACAGTTTTTACCCATTTTCTACTAGCTAACTAAAACTAAACTTTTACTCTTTGTCAATGTTGACTGTTACCTCAAAACTATCATTCATTAAATCTTAAGCTATTATGCTGGGTTAAAAAAAAAAAAAGTTCAAGAGTCCTCGCTGGTTTGGCTCAGTAGATAGAGGGCCAGCCTGTGAATTGAAGGGTCCTGGGTTTGATTCCAGTCAAGAGCACATGCCCGGTTTGTGGGCTCCATCCCCACTAGGGTGCATGCAGGAGCCAGCCAACCAATGATTCTCTCTCATCATTGATGTTGCTATCTCTCTCTTCCTCTCTCTTTCTCTTTGAAATCAATTTTTTTTAAGTTCAAGAATACATACACAAAATGTAGAGAACACATTGTGTATATTTTGGTAAATATTGTTTCTTGTCTTATTTTAGGGTACTTTTATTGGTAGAGATGTGTCCATATTGAAGACCTAATTTTTGAAACATAGGTACATATATATATAAATATTAAGGTGTTCTTGGTTTTATTTTCATTTCCAAGCTGTCCTCTTAAACAGTCAAAGTTAGAAGAGAGCCACAGGCTTACCTGGAAAAAAATAGTGGTAATGAGTTCCATATAATCAATAATATAAATTCAATATCTGCCTGCTTACTGGTTCCCAAATGCTAATCTTAAAACTGGGGCCAAAATGACTATATGAAAAATATTTTTGAGTACTTTTAAAAAACATACTGATTGCTGGGTCCAATTTCAGAGATTCTGAATCAATAGTTTTGGAATGAGTCCTAGGTATCTGCATTTAAAAAGTTGTATTGGTGATTCCTTATGTGCAGTCAGGACTGGAGGGCACTTAGAGAACCCTCAAAAGTTCTTTCACCTGCTGATTTTGTGATTTAAGTATGCAAGTAGTCTTCTTTCATCTGCCCCTGACTTTACACAGGAGACAAACAAAATTACCATCTTAAGTTTTTCCCTTTTGGACTTACTAAGAGTATTTCCATACTAAAAGTTGTCATCGTTGTTATTTTATTAATATTATGATATGTCCGCTTCAGACTTAAATTTGTAACAATGTACTTATAGCTAAAAAGATAAATTTCAAGCAAAGGAAAGATAAAGACAGTGAAAGAATAATGTGAATGTCCTGAGGTGGATCTGTGAGATTTTTATTTTCACAGACCTGTTTTTGTGATAAATTGGCTACCATTCATTGTAAATCAATATGACATTAATTAGCCATTCTTCCTATTTGCTGCTTTAGAACTTAGAGCTCCTTTCTGAGCTACAGCTTTGAGAAGGTATTACAAATATAGATATAATAATAAACTGCAATCTTGCAGTAGCAATAGAACGATTTGGGAATTTTAATAGTCTTAAAAGAATATTTGATTTGAGTGGGAAGGAAACTGACTTCACTTTCTTAGAGGCTCTGAAGAAGAATGATGTGAATAAGATTGGGAAAATCAAGAAACAACAAGAAAGCCCACTGCGTGGGAGAACATATTTGTCAATGATATCTCCAATAAGGGATTAATCTCCAAAATTTACAAAGAGCTCATACAACTTATCAAAAAGAAGATAAGCAATTCAATCAAAAAAAAAGGTGGGGGGGCAAAGGGCCTATATAGACACTTTTGGAAAATGGACATACAGAAGGCCAAGAGACATGTGAAAATGTGCTCAAAGTCACTGATCTTCTGAGAGATGCAAATCAAAATAACAATGAGGTACCATCTCACACCTGTCAGAATGGCTATCATCCACAAATCACAAAGGAAAAGTGCTGGCAAGGATGCGAAGAAAAAGGAACCCTGTTGCATTGCTGGTGGGAATGCAGACTGGTACAGCCACTGTGGAGAACAGTATGGAGTTTCCTCAAAAAATTAAAAATGGAACTGCCATTTGACCCAATAATCCCACTTCTATGAATATATCCCAAGAAAACAGAAACACCAATCAGAAAGGATATATGCACCCCTATGTTATTAGCACAGTTCACCATAGCTAAGATTTGGAAACAGCCTAAGTGCCCATCAGCAGATAAGTGGATTAAAAACTGTGGTATATCTACACAATGGGATACTATCAATACACTGCTATAAAAAAAGAAGGAATTCTTACCATTTGTAACAACATGGATGGACCTTGAGAACATTATGCTAAGTGAAATAAATCAGACAGAAAAGGCTAAAAACCATATAACTTCACTCATATGTGGGATATAAAACAAACTTATGAACACAAATAGAGTGGTGGTTGGCAGAGGGAAGGGGGTGGGGGAGAAAGAGGTCCTAATATGAGGTGACAGGAGAAGATTTGACTTTAGGTGGTGGGCACACAGAGCAATATACAGATTTTGTAACATAGAAACCCAAACCTAAAACCTATATGATCATATTAACCAATATCACTCCAATAAATTTAATTTAAAAAGTAGGAAGGAAGGAAGGAAAGGAGGGAGGGAGGGAAGGAGGAAGATTAGGATTTAATACAACATTTTTTTGTAGAGCATAAAATGTTCTCTATAACCAAGTTTAATCTACTTCCTAGTTGACAGTGTATCAGAAAGTACATATTATGTATTTTTTTAAAATTATGGTATATATCCAATTTTTAAATTTGTTTTATAGTTATGTCAGAAAGGCTGAAAGCTTTTTCCTTTTTTTTAAATTTCCTTATTGATTATAATATCACACAATTGTCCTCATTCCCCCATTCCCATCCCAAACCCCTCCCCATTTTAAGGCAATTATAAGTTTTCAAGTTACTCAAAATTAGTTTACTGGAATGATAATGAATCTATTTGGTTATAATATTGCAGAGAATTTGATGAGAGAAAAAAGTGAACTTTAATGATTACTTTGTGTAATAAAAGAAGACATAAGGGAACATGCTAACTCTATAATTGTCTCCTCAATTTATGACTAGGTAAGGTTGTAAATGAACAGATGATCTGGGTTCAACTGTCAAATTAAATATAGATAGCTACCAGAACTAGCTAATATTCTCCTATATTTTGGAGGAACTAAAAGTAAAGTTTTAGGTACAGAATAATAAATCACTTAAATATAAATTAATAACATGCCTTTGGAGAAGGTTTGTAGATCTTGTGTTCTACTTGATTAGAAAGATGTACAGTATTAAGCGATATGAGTTTAAGTAGGCACATAAAGGTGTCTTGTGGGCATAAAATTTTAGTTAAAAGTTGTATATGATAAGATAAAGGATGATTTTGAATCAGGAAAGGACAGTGATTTATAAATCTAAGCCATGCCTATATTTTTATTAAAACATATGCTTGGCTACAAATTTTATGTGGACTTACTCTGGATTCCCAGTGTGAGATAAGTTGTGAAAGTTCAATATATTGCCATTTCCTAATGAGTACTAGCAATTATAATGATAAAGGCATAGAATATTATTTCAGTAATTGATGAGAACACTTCATTTGGATAAGATCTCAAGTAAAGAAAAAAATGAAAGGAGGACCTATGTAATATTTTCAACAATAAAGATTAAAAAAAAAAAAAAAACAAGAAAAAATGAGACTTGTAGATTGAGTCTTTTGTGTTCTGTGTTGTTTACATGGTGGTTTAGAAGTGTACTAGTAGGATGGCTGATTGAGTTGTCCAAGTTGAAGAAGTATAAGGAGAATTAAAAGGTAACATATTGCTGGTGGAATGCTAGAATATTTAATGATTCACATTTTAATAGCTTAGTTTAAGAGTTCTCTCACTATTGCCGAAACCGGTTTGGCTCAGTGGATAGAGCGTCAGCCTGCGTATTGAAAGGTCTCAGGTTTGATTCCGGTCAAGGGCATGTACCTTGGTTGCGGGCATATCCCCAGTAGAGGGTATGCAGGAGGCAGTTGATCGATGTTTCTTTTCTTTTTTTTTTTTTTAATATATTTTATTGATTTTTCACAGAGAGGAAGGGAGAGAGATAGAGAGCTAGAAACGTCGATGAGAAAGAAACATCAACCAGCTGCCTCTTGCACACACCCCCTACCGGGGATGTGCCCGCAAACAACGTACATGCCCTTGACCAGAATCGAACCTGGGACCTTTCATTCCGCAGACCGACTCTCTACCGCTGAGCCAAACCTGTTTCTGCTGATCGATGTTTCTAACTCTCCCTCTCTCTCTTCCTCTCTGTAAAAAAATCAAGAAAATATACTTTAAAAAAGAGTTCTTTCACTATAGCTATCATAGTATTAATGTGCAAACTATCTATAGCCAGCTGCTTTACTCTAAAATAGGGGTGTCGAACTCAATCAGAGAAGGGGCCAAAATCTAAAATCCAGCCTAAATCGCGGGCCGAATGGTTTACTGAACAGTCATAAACTGTCATTGTGATGGAAACGCAGCGGAGTGCAGTGATGACAGCGCGGTGCGGGCCACATTGCAAGGCCTGGCGGGACGGATTTGGCCCGCGGGCCTTGTGTTTGACACATGTGCTCTAAAACATGTCAGGCCCTTTGGCAGACTTCAGAGACAACATTTGTTATATAGGATTGTTTGTGGTAGCAGGATTAAGGAAAGGAAGCCAAATGAATGTGTGTGATCCAGTAGAATATGGACTAGTCCACCATTTGGAGTTACTGTTGTTCTAACAAAGCACATGTGAAGAGTCAAGGGAATTTGTATGCTTTTTAAAAATGTGTTAATATCCTATACGATTTCTTTTCCTTCATTAAAAAGAATTGATGCAAAACACTTGTGTTATTCCCTTTTTTTCTTTCCTTCCTCTTAGAATAATATAGCTGATCCAGAAGAACTGTTCACAAAATTAGAACGCATTGGAAAAGGCTCCTTTGGAGAAGTTTTCAAAGGAATTGATAACCGTACCCAGCAAGTGGTTGCTATTAAAATCATAGACCTCGAGGAAGCTGAAGATGAAATTGAAGACATTCAGCAAGAAATAACTGTTTTGAGTCAGTGTGACAGCTCATATGTAACGAAATACTATGGATCATATTTAAAGGTAATGTGTGCCATATTATTTGTCATAATGTATTTTCATTATAAGTTTTCCTTTCTTTTTTTTTCAAATTCAATATCTTAAATTGGGATTTGGCAGTCTTTGGCTTCCTGGCAGAATCCAGCCCCATTTATAGTGCCAAATAGAATTTGTATAGATCTAGCAGCTGTATCCTCATTATATCCCAGTACTCAGCTGCATCATTTTTCCCACACCTGAGCTTTCGGATTGAGGAGGAGCAGAAATGCAGCTGGTCCTTGAGACATATCCTTTGTTAAGAAAGAACTTTCCCCCCAGTGCTTTCACACATTATTCTCAATCGTCCAGTCTGTCTCAACCTCAAAATTTACAAAATATGTAAGTCTGTAACTTATTCCATTGAGGTTTGGTGGTTATTTACACACCTCTCTCTCCCTTCAGATTGTCAGCTCTGTGATCGCAGGGAGATTAGCTCAACTAGTCTTGGTTTTTTTACATCACTTAGCACAGGGCATGGCACATCTTACAAAAGTGATAAATATTTGTTTGAACAAAATTAAATTGAATAATATCTGTCCCCTCCTCTACCCCTCCAAAAATGAATTTTTAATTACTAGGATTGTGGAATTAACGGACACCCAAAATTCCAGCAGATGGAGATGTTACTGCATAACAGAAAACTGTTTAGTTAGTAGATCCACAAGTTCCTGGGTTCCAGAGTTAGAAGTTAAATTTGTGTCTATTGAATGTGAAGCATAAATACAAAAATAGCTTATGTTAGAGTTTAAATTATGTTAAAATTTAAATTTATTTGCTTAGTGTTGAAATTTTTTTGAATTTGTCTCTTTTTAATTTAATTTTATTTATTTATTTTTATTTTTTATTTTTTTATTAAATTATTATCTTTGTACATATACCATTGCCCCACCCTCCCATATATGCCCTCCCTCCCCAGAGTTTTGTGTCCATTGGTTGTACTTATATGCATGTATACAAGTCCTTCGGTTGATCTCTTATCTACCCCAGATCTCCCTACCTTCCCCACTGTAATTTGACAGTCTGTTTGTTGCTTTACTGTCTCTATATCTATCTTTTGGTTCTTCAGTTTATAATGTTCTTTATCATCCATAAATGAGTGAGGTCATGTGGTGTTTCTCTTTCATTGACTGGCTTATTTTACTCAGCATGATGTTCTCTAATTCCATCCAGGTTGCTGCAAATGATGAGAATTTCTTCTTTTTTATGGCAGCATAATATTCCATTGTGTAGATGTACCATGGTTTTTGGATCCAATCATCTGCTGATGGGCATCTAGGCTGTTTCCAAATCCTGGCTATTGTAAATTGTGCTGCTATAAACATAGGGGTGCATATATCCTTTCTGGTTGGTGTTTCTAGCTTCTTGGGATATGTTCCTAGGAGAGGGATTACTGGGTCAAATGGGAGTTCCATTTTCAGTTTTTTTGAGTAAGCTCCATACTGTTCTCCATAGTGGCTGCACGAGCCTACATTCCCACCAGCAGGGTTCCTTTTTCTCCGCAACCTCGCCAGCACTTGTTGTTTGTTGATTTGTTGATTTTGACCATTCTGACAGGTGTGAGATGGTACTACATTGTTGTTTTGATTAGCATCTCTCGGATAATTAGTGACTTTGAGGATGTTTTCATGTGTCTCTTGGCCTTCCTTCTGTCTTCTTTTGAGAAGATTCTATTTAGATCCATTGCCCATTTTTTAATTGGGTCCTTTATCTTCCTTTTATTAAGTCTGTAGATGTTGGAGATTAAACCTTTATCAGTGATAACATTTGCAAATATGTTCTCCCATACAGTGGGCTTTCTTGTTGTTTTGTTGATGGTTTATTTTGCTGAAAAAAACTTTTTATTTTGATGTAGCCCCATTTGTTTATTTTCTGTTTAGCTTCCATTGCCCTAGGGGAAGTATCAGTGAAGAAGTTCTTTTGGCATATGTCTGAGATTTTGCTGCCTGTGGATGCCTCTAGTATTTTTATGGTTTTCAGTCTTATGTTTAAGTCCTGTATCCATTTTGAGTTTATTTTTGTGTATGCTGTAAGTTGGTGTTCTGGTTTCATTCTTTTGCATGTGTCTGTCCAATTTTCCCAACACCATTTATAGAAGAGACTGTCTTAACGCCATTGAATGTTCATGCCTCCTTTCTCAAATATAAATTGAGCATAGTGATTTGGGTTGATATCTGGGTTCTCGATTCGATTCCATTGATCTATATGTCTGTTCTTGTGCCAGTACCAGGCTGTTTTGAGAACAGTGGCTTTGTAATACAGCTTGAAATCTGGTATTGAGATCCCTCCTACTTTACTCTTCTTTCTCAGGATTGTTGTGGCTATTTGGGGTCTTTTATTGTTCCAAATGAACTTTTGGAGAGTTCTTTCTAGGTCAGGGAAATGTGCCATTGGTATCTTAATTGGGAATGCATTGAACCTATAGATTGGTTTGGGAAGTATGGACATTTTGATGATGTTGGTTCTACCAATCCATGAACATGGTATGTTCTTGCACCTGTTTACATCTTCCTCTATCTCATTTTTCAGTGTCGTGTAGTTTTCCGCATATAGGTCTTTTACCTACTAAGTTAAGATTATTCCTAGGTAACTTAATTTTTTTGGTGCGATGGTAAATGGGATTGCCTTTTTAGTCTCTGTTTCTGCAAGTTCACTATTGG